CAAAGCCCTCTGCCTCATGTAGCTTAAAACAGCAACTCTCATTTGGTTAACTTCCTCTCCCATCATATCCAAAACTGTCTCAAACCTTCATCCCTTTCTTCAACCTACCACCCCAACCCTCATAGCAAAGGTGCTGGGTTCCCACTTCACAGAGGAACTAGAAGTCATCTGAAGGGCATTTTTCATTTAAAAATCTTACAAAATAATACTTGGATGTCATCCATCCTTTTCTCCTGGCTTCCTGTTTTCCAAGCTAGAATTGGTGGCCTTACTTCCCCTGTCACATGTTTCACGCTGTTGTAACTTGTGGCTTAATTATCTATCTGTCCTGAGACTGGAGACCCCATCTGTCTTTCCCAGGGCTCTGTCTCCAGCATCTGGCGCTTAACCTCCAGTTGGTACTCAATCTCCTGGGATAATGAGTGCCTCAAGGAAGCGTACCAGGGAGAGAAGCCAAACTCTGGGGGCGGGACTGCTTCCTGAGCGAGGCCAGTTTCCCAGAGACACCTTTCTGGCTTCACAGCTGGAAGCTGCCTTGTCTCCATGTCTTCCAAAAGGCAGAAGTTGGAGATGTAATCTGATTGATGATGTTCTGTCAGAGATTTCTAGATCCCTGAGGGATCTTGAAGACTCCTCTGCCTGAAAGACTCAAGAGGGCAAGACGGGCCCCACTAGGGCTCTTCAGAAAACCTACCCTGAAGTTCTAGCTTCGACTACATACCCCTCTCTCTGTTCCATGTCTTGCTTCTCTCTATCCACTTACCTATGTTACTGGAATTATCTTTTTAAGTGTATATCTCTCTGTAATAGAACTCTTGGATACAAGTGATAGAAATCCGGCCTGAACTAAAGCAAAAAGAAAATATCCCCCATACAACCAGGGCAGGGGAACCCAAGGAGGTAACTAGCTTCTGGCCCAGTCGGATCCAGAGGATCAAAGTCTTTAAGATTTCTTATTCCACCTCTCAGTTCTGCTTATCTCTCCTTGACTTTATTCTTCAGAAAGGACTTGGCTCTTTCCATGTGATAGGCAGGATGGCCACCAGCAGTGCATTCTTATACCCTCCAGTTGAAGAACCCCAGAAGAAAATGAACTTTACATACATGTCAGTCCCTAGTAATGATCTGGTTGACCTGATATGGGTCTTCTGCTAACCCCTAAACCAAAGACTGTGGTCACGGATGTGCAGTTTTGTGATGAGTGAAACAGATTCTTCATGTCACTATGGCTCATGGTTTCCTGTTTTGATTAATTCGCTACCTGTTATTTTCAGTATTTATTTTTAATGCTCAAATAGTCACAAAATAGATTTGTCTGGTGGGAACCCCTGCAATCTAGCTTCTGTGTCCTTTTGACATATTTCTGTATTCTTTGAGGACTTTTTCTTTCTGCGTCAACAAGATGTTCCAAGTTCATCTTGTGTGTTCCTTGCACTTGTCCTGGAATCAACCATTTCTCCAATTAATCTGCTTCCTTTTAGTGAAGAATGGTATTTAGAAGATCTGGGTGCTAGGTGTTCTAATTGCTATTGCTGTTGTGTTGCTCTTCCCAGGCCCTTTTGGTAAACAGTGCATAGGGAATATATTTATGCACGTATATGTGTATACATGTGTGTATGCATGTATGTGTGTGCATATATATGTATTTGTACATGTTTTATCTCTCTATATGAAAACCATGAGTTCACAACAATACCTCCAATTCCAATCCAAAATCACAAAGTTCATTAGAGTTTCCACCTTTCTACATTTGTAACTCATTCTTTGAAAGTGAGAAATCTTGGTCCTGTTCTTAATATATTTGTTTGTTCCATCTGTCCGCTTGTAAGCAGTCAATTGCCCATCAGTCTAGCACTTCGCTTCCATGTGTGAACACGTATTTACTTCTGCTGGGCTCCAACAAGCCTTACTGGGCAGCCCTCCTGCGTGGCCACAGTTCTCACCCAACATGGGCTTGGACACCTGCACTACACAGCCCACCTCCACGTACTGTCCCCTCCCCCAGCTCACACTTAGACTCTCCATGACACCACCTCCACCCAATGCCAATGCCTGCCATATGTAACCTGACATAATGGCTTTAGGACTGAATTTTCAAAATGGAAGGGGAAGAGAGAGTGCACCTTGATTTTTCTAAGTGTTATTTTGTTATCACAATTTAAATTGTAATAACATCTACATCTTTATTTTTTAAGAATTGGAACATTACAGATAATACTAAAGTCTCCTTTGGCAGTCAGCTTCAATTTTGGTCTGTTTTCTTTTTTCTAGTGCCTACTCCTGCCATTAGTTTAATGTTTATCCTTCTAAATGTTTTTCAGGTAAGTTTACATTAACGTACATGTTCTTGAAGAAAGCATATTGGACATCTTATATGGTCTTTCTCCCTCTCTTCCTCTTCTAGGATTAAATGTAGAGGTTAAGAATACAGCATGGTCTGTCTGCTGCCATCTTGAAACCAGAGATGTATTTTACTTTTCTTTGTACCTTCAGCATCTGGCACAGTGCTTAGGACATAGTAGTTACTCAATAAAACATTGCTGTCATTGTGTTTCTTAAGCTAGATTCCCACAAGTGAAATTATTTATTCAAAGGGTTTTTTACAGCTGCCAAATTGTCGGAAGAAATGAGGTAGTCTTTATTCTGCCATCAGAACTTTGAAGTTCAATGCCCTGCTCTTCAGGGCCATGAAATCACTTATCTGTGAAATCATGTACCTCACTTATTTCACTCTTTTCACTCACTATTTGTATGGTAGTGATATTCAAGTGTATAGCAAATCTGCAACTTAGGAGGACCCTGACATGTGATCATCTATTTATGATGGCTTGATTTGTTGCATGCCCCATTTTAGAACTATATTTATTGCAAATAAATGCACAACAGCAGTGACAAGTTTCATCTGTAACCATCTAGTTAATGAGGCCCAGGCCTTTGGAATCAAAGATAGCAAGAAATCATGATGCTCTAATTTGTGAAGTGAGATAATCCCGGTAGAATGAGTGTATTATCTGAAACAGCAAACTCCCATGTCTCCAAACATAGCAATAATTCCAGTAGAGACGTTATTTTCTCTTTGAAATCCCTAAGGACAGTCTGCATGAGACATCAAATGCAAAAGTTTTCAATATGAGAAAAGCATAGTTCTATCACTGTAGGAACAGAAAGGTTGGCACAGCACCAGAGCTCTACTCATCCATTTAGGCAGCCTTGGGATCTGAGGTCAGGAGACCTGAGACAGTCCCTGCTCTGAGCTGGGGATTCTCAGAATTCTGAGAACTGAGCCTCTCTCAGTTTCAGTTTTCACATCATCAAGTCGGGATAATAAGAGGACACCTACCTCATAGTATTATCGTATGACCTAGATATGTTAAGAAGTGGACCTAGTGTGACAGGCACAAAACATCATCCAATTAGAAATTGCCACAAGAGACACCAGGATAAATGAGTGTTTTAGAATATTTGAAGCGTAACTCCCCTGAACATCCTCCAGAGGGCTAAGGAAGGACCCATTTATGAGCACGTCAGTTTATCTTCTATTTGAACTCTTGAAACAAACCTGTGGGGCAATATTCTTCTCATTTAAGAGATGAGGGAAGAGGCAGGAGCAGTTCCTTTGCCCAGAGCTACACAGTTGGAGGCAGCAGAGCTGGGGCCTCACCTCAGCCCTTTTGACTCCCAAAGCTCCTGACACCCAGCTTACTCCCCCAAAGCTAGGGAGGGAGGGGCAGAACTGAGAGGAGTGGGTGGGGGCAGGAGAGTGAGGTCGGTCAGTGGCAGAGCAGGGGTCAAAAACAAGGCAAGGACGTGGGAAGGCTTTCACAGGAGAGTCAGGAGATGGTCACTGCCAGAGAATCCGGGCAGGGGTACTTAAGTCTCAGTATTAAGAGTTTAGAAGAAAAGGACTAAGTTATTTAACTTATTACTTTATTTGAGAAAATAATTTAATGATTAATTTTCAGAAAGCCAAGGTACAAAAAAAAAACTGCTAAAGAAAGAAAAGAATTTATATCTGAAATACAATGTCACCAATCATGTATGATTTTCTAGTTAGGAGCTATGACCTTGCACATATCTTTTACAGCAGTTAAGAGACCCCATGGCCCTTTGAGTTTTAATAATTCTCTCAGCAGAGTCATCCTGCACTGGGATGATCTGGCCAGAATCTGAGTACTACGAGGCAGGAATCTTTGTTTTGGGTGTGCGTGAATCTTCAGCACCTGGAACTGTGCCTGGAACGTGGGAGGTGCTCACCAAGTAGTTTTTGAGAGAAGTTATCTGGGAATTTGTGAACTAAAATGTGACAGGGCCTCTAGGAACCAGCTGAAGTAGACAGCTGCGTGTTCCCCTGGTTCTTTCTCCTCCCAGGAGGAAACCTGACCTTTTGCCCCCCCATCTAGAATCAGCTGTGTAGGCCAAACTCGCAGACTACACAGCATCAGCGGGCCTGACCGCATTTGCAAAAAGACTAAGAATAAAGTCCGCCACAGATGTTGGTAAATAAGACAGAGGGAGAGTGAAGCATACGGCGTCCCAGCCAGCAGAGTAGTGGATACGAGGGTGGACGGCGGTCAGGGCGTGCTCCATGCAGTTGGTGACCAGGCTCAGATCCTTCTGTCCTAGAGATGTGAGTTTATTGTAATACTGGCAATCTGTTATAGAGAAAAACCGTTAGAACTGTAGTAACAAGTTGATATGAAAAGCAGGAGAAAATACGGGTACAAACAGTATTGGAGGAGTGGGAGAGGGCAGGCCAGGAAGAGGATGGCCTTGTGTTCCGGGTCTGATACTGGGTGGTCACAGGGTGAGAGGAGGCAGGGTGCCAGGCTCGGAGCGCAGGCCCTGTAGCTGTGCTGTCCAGTACTGCAGCCGCGAGCCACATGTGGCAATTGAGCACAAGAAATGTGATCAGTCTGATAGAGATGTGCAATAAATGTAAAAATTCACACTGGGTTTCAAAGACAGTATGAAGAAAAACTGTGGAATATCTCAATCACAATTTTTCTTTTTTGAGGAAGATTGGCCCTGAGCTAATATCCATTCTCATCTTCCTCTGTTTTATATGTGGGACACCTGCTACCACATGGCTTGATAAGCAGGGCCGGGGATGCCAGCTGGGCCACCCCAGGCCACTGAAGCAGAGCTCGCAAAGTTAACCGCTAGGCCACCTGGGCGGCCCCCAGTCACAATGTTTTATGTTGATTATTTGTTGAAATGATGGTGTTCTGCATAGAGTCTATTCTGGATTAAATTCACTTGTTCGTTGCCTTTTTTATGGCAAATTGAAAAATTAAAATGACGTATGTGGCTTGCATTTGCAGCTCGCTTTATATTTCTTTCGGTCTACAGTTGCCTGGAACCACATTGCCAGGGTTCACTTCATCACTTCTCCACTGACTAGCTGAGTGATCTTGGGAAATCACTCGCCATTTCAGGCCTCAGTTTCTTTATCTGTAAATGAGGAATAACAAAGGCACTTTCCCTCTCGGGCGGTGAGGATTGGCTGAGTTAATTCTTCCACAGGGCCTGGCACAGAGCTCATGTGTATTGAGTGGGTGTGGGGCTCAAAGGAAAGCCATGGCCTGAGCAAGGCAGGAGGCGCAGCAAGAGAGATTGGAATCCAGCCGGCACATAGCAAGCACTCAAGGTTTTTGAAGTTAATGACTTTGCCAGCCTTGCTCTGTGGGGGTCCAGGAAGAACTTACAGCCTTCGAAGTACTTGTCTCCATAGCTCTTCTTCACCTCTGGGGACGCTTGGCTCCAGAGCCCCTTGAGTAGATCCTGTACATTGTCAGGGCAAATGGATGTTTTAAAGTTCCCGGGTACTATGATAGCAACACGAACACCAAAGGGACAAAGCTCTCTTCTGAAACACAAGACAAGAGAGAGTGAACCAAGGAAACAGCCTCCATCTGTGACCTGGTCAATCCTGTTCCTTCTTAAAGAAATAAGGCCCAAGGCCAAATGTTCAAGGAAGGCATTTAGTTCGAGGAAGAATGTGAATGAGAAGACCCAGGCATCATACCAGGGGAAGATGTCCGAGAGACAGTCCCAGGGTCAATGCCCACAGATAGCTTCTTTCCCAGATCTGGAAAGCTCAAGGGCCAAGGCGCTAGTGCTGCCTCTTCCTGCCCCTCCCACACCTGTCTCTCCAGGCCCTGCCCTCTGCGACAGCTCTCTGAACACCAGAGCCCCTTCCTGCCCCTGCCCAGGTAGAACTCCTTTCCTCTGTGAAGCCTTCCTTGGCCTCTGCCCTGAGGAAAGGTGAGTCACCCCATCCTTGGTGCCTCCGCACACCTGGTACATACTCCTATTCATTTTAATGTATTCATTGCACACCCACTACAGAAGTTTTTCACACACGGAACTGGGTTCAGATTCTGGCTCAGCCTCACGCTTGACCATAGAGAATCACATCTAACTCACGGGGCTTCTGTGAGGGGTAGATAGAGCACTGGGCACAGCACTTTGCCTTCAGACTAGCCCACCAATAGTCACCCTTTCCTCAGGGGGAACCATCTGTCAGGCTTAGTGACTTGTGGCACTTAATTAATAAGGCAAATAATTCTGTAACAGCAGACTATTATCATTCACATATTGAAAATGCATTATGTATAACATTCATTTATATTTATATATATTTGTGAAGAAATATATTAAATATGTTTGGTACACGTAGACGTTTTATAGAAATGGCAATAAAGACAGAATAAATCCTAATGTATTTTTCACTTTTCTTGATGGATTGTCTAATATGATTGTAAGATTTGGACATTCCGTTTTCAAAGTCCCTCATTTTGGTCCACACCAGCATAATCGGAACCCAGGCCCATCATTCATGAATACACTCCAGCCACAGGCAAGACTGCCTCAGTGGGCTGGTCCTTACCTCAGGCTGTCAGAAAAAGCTTCTACACCGAACTTGGAAATGCAGTAGCCACCACCAAGCACAGATAGTCTCCCAGCTGGGCTAGAAACATTGACTACTCTTCCCCTGGTCTTTCTGATCAGGGGAAGCAAGCTCAGGGTCACCTCGATGAGGCCGATCAAGTTCACGTTCAATATTTTCAAGAAATCATCTTTGGTCAGCCATTCATTCGGTGCAGCTGGCACACCAATGCCAGCATTGTTCACCAAACCCCACAGGCCTAGTAGAAACAAAGAGAAACTAGAAATGGGAAACACACTTAAGAATCATTTCAGTGTTCAAATTACATTCTCTTAAGGGAGATAAACCATAAACCTAATAAACTGTCAAATTACATAGTGTGTCAGAAGGATTTCAATGGCAAAAGAGCAGGTGAGCAGGGTTGAGTGGCAGGTGAGGAGTGTTCATTCACCGTATTGAGTCGGGTAGTCAGGACAAGATTTGAAAAGTTGAGAACTGAGCAAAACTTACAGAAGAATGGGACAGTCAAAGGGACATCTGGAGCGGATAGTTCTGGGTGAAAAAACGCTTCAATAAATATCACCAGGTGTTTGTCTGGATGCCTGACCTGTTGGAGGAACAGCAAGAAGCCCAGTGTACCTGGGGCAGATGGCAAGAGTTAGGGAATGGGAGAGAACTGGTCAGGGAAGTAATGGGATGCCAGATCACCCGGTGCAGTCTAGGCCATTTTAAAAAGCTTTACATTTACTTCAGGTGAAATGGGAAACCTCTGCAGGGTCTTGAGTACAGTAATGACAAGATCTGTCTTATTTTTGAAATGTACTCTGTGCGCTGTTGAGAACTGACTGAGGGTAGAAAAGGGCAGATGCAGGGTAGCTGGTAGGAGATTATTGCAGTGATCCTGGCGTGAAATGATGATGGCTACAGCCAGATTGGTAGTAACAGCACTAGTCAGAAGTCAAACTCTGAACAAATTTTACAGATACAGTATAATTTTCTGACGTTTTCAATATGGTGAGGGAAAGGAAAAGCATCATCAAGAATGACTTTGTTGGAATGAAAAACAGAATGGAGATACCATTTACTAGGATGGGGAAGTTTTAGAGATGGGCAATGATCATGAGTTCAGTTCACTAAGGTTAAACTTGAGATTCTCCCAGACACTCAAGTAGAAATGTGGAGGAGGCAATTGGAAATTTGAATCTGGAGCTCAGGAGAGAAGTATGAGTTGGACATATAAGTATGGACACCATCCATGTCCAAGAATTGAGCCCTGAAGGCACTCTACATTAAGGATCTGGGAAAAGTGGAAGAACAAGCAAAGGAAACTGAATCAGCATTGAGATGAGAGGAAATAAGTTCTAAGAGATTGGTGTCCTGGAAGCCAAGGGAGGAGGGTGTATCAAGAAGGAGAAAAAGTAGTCAAATGCTGCTAGGTCAGGTAGAGTGAGGACTAAGAATCAACCCTTGGATGTAGACGGTGAAGGTCAATGGACATCTTGATAAAAGCAATTTGGGATGGGTGTGGGTGCATGATTAGAAATGCTTTAATAGAAAATGGGAAGAGAGACTGGAGGCAATGAGTACAGATATATCCATAGAGGAATTTTGTGGCAACAAGAAAAAGATTTGGGGGTGGTGATGGTGGTAGTGGTGAGAGGATGGCAAGATAGTAGTGGAGAGAAAAAACCAATGATTTAGGAGAACAGGAAGAGGGTAGAATTGCTGGGAGGTTCTGAATAGGCCAAGGAGGATATGCTCTATTGCACACATGAATGGACTGGATTTATACGGGGAGGAAGGCCAGGCAGGCTGTGCTGGTGCAGACGATGGTAAGTGGGTAGGGGAGCTGGAGAAGTCTGAGGAAATTCTTTTCTAATTGCTTCAGTTTTCCTCAGTCAAGTTGGTATCAGCTCAGAGTGAGGATAGCAGAGAAAAGCTGGAGGTATAAGGAGAAAGGAAAGGTTTGAAATGGTTGTCTGGAAATTGGGAGAATGAATGGAGTATGACTGTATATACAACAGCATAAAAGCCCACTAGAGGTTTGTGTTCATGAATTTGTCATGAGACCAACTGAACTCATCTGTGAGTTCAGTTTTTTCCACCTATGCTCAACTCCATAAGGGCAGGCATGGGGCAGTGAGAGATGGTATTACCCAGGCTGGTGATTTTTGCCAAGTGAGGACAACTAAGGGTGAGAGAGAGGCAAGAGAATCTCAGGCCTTTGCAGTGGGGTGATCATAGTAACAGATCGTGGGATGTAGGTGGGTAATGAAGGAAGAGAGAAAATCAAGGGGTGAGGGTTGGTGAAAAGGTGGTTGGATCAATGGATTGGAGGTCCTGGTGGGCCCAAGAATATTTGGGATCTGGGGAAGAGAGCGAGAGAGCTGGAAGGAGTAGAGGTGGCTGTTGCAAGAATGCGATGCATGCAGCTGAGATGCCTCATGCTTCTAGGAAATTAATGAGATCGGCAGGCCTCAACCCCATTGCCCCTGTCTTTGCTTTGAAAAACCTACAGAGCTCAGTGAACAACAGGACCAAATATTATTTGTTTTAAAATCCCTAAGCTTTGGTGCAATATCCTGAAGCAGTATGGTATCGTGCCTCACATGTTAACTGTTGCACCCTCCCATACCTGATGAATGATAGTACCATGAGTGTGTGATGCCTGGCAGCGTTGACTGTGGCCCCTTTCCTTCCTTCCCATTTAAAACTGCACTGGAGGGGCTGGCCCTGTGGCCGAGTGGTTAAGTTTGTGGGCTCTGCTGGAGGTGGCCCAGTGTTTCATTGGTTCGAATCCCGGGTGCGGACATGGCACTGCTCATCAAGCCACGCTGAGGCAGCGTCCCACATGCCACAACTAGAAGGACCCACAACAAAGAATACACAACTATGTACTGGGGGGCTTTGGGGAGAAAAAGGAAAAATAAAATCTTTAAAAAAGAAAAACTGCACTGGATGTGAGTGACCCACAGAGAGTGAGGTCAGAGGTAATCTCAACTCCCTGCCAACGTTTTACTGGGAGGGAACTCTGCACAAACTTTGTCACTCAGATATGACTTATTAACCAATACCTTGCTGCACTCTCCCCATGACCTTTGACACTTCCTGGTGCTTTCACACACCGTGACTAGAATTGATGATGTAGGGCAACGTGTAGGGTGAACGGGTCCAGGTGACAGGGTCCTGGCAACTCTGGGCAGTGACTCAGAGAAAAGTCTCTGGGAAAATAGATTGTAATTCACAAGTGTAGCTTATGAGTCATACATTCATCATTTCATACCCACTCTCATTACCCAAAACACCTGCAAATTAGAGTTGCCACACCACCATCACCTCTCTCTTCCCCTCATTGCCTTCCTATCTTTCATTCTACCTTCCCTCCAGGTACATACATGCACCTTTTAAACCTATTTCCTCACTTCCTTCTACCTTCCCCCCTGAGATACATAGTTCCACACAACCTGATTTTTTCAGGGCAGTGCCAAATATAAATATTTGTTCACTTACTCCATGAATACTAATGTATTTGGGAGTCTTCGTGTAATGAAGACAGCACCCCAATTTATAGCCCCGACTTGATCCCCGAGACTTTTCACCTGGCATGTTATGTGTTACTTCTACAACACTGAGGACAAAGCAGTCTATCAAACGGACAGACGCCCTGGCCATACCTCTGTCCCCTGTGCGCTCCTTCACCCACTGGGTGGCTGCAGCAATGCTCTCTGTCTTGGTCACATCCAGGATCACCGTCTCCAGCCTGTCTGACGTCTGGTCCCTCAACTGCTTGGCCCCCTTCTCCGTCAGACACGCGGCCAGCACCCTCAAGCCTCGCAGGTCCAGCTGCCTGGCCAGCTGATTCCCAAAGCCCGAGTCACAGCCTGTGATGAAGACGTACTTGTCTCGGAGGTTGCTCACCACCTGCCTCTCCCGGTACCAGCGCAGGAGGTAGCACAGGCCCACAAGGGCCGCCAGGTACAGCCACATGGCAGAGATCTGTCCTTCCCTTCAAGAAAGAAGAAAACTCTTTCAGACTCACGCAGATCCAGCTTATGTTTGCCTACTCGTTGATTGTTCTCTGCTTTACCTTAGATCTACTGAATTTAGTTATAGTGACATCTGCAATCATTAACCAGCTTTCACTGTAATTCTGTAGGTTGGTTATTTCAGAGGCCAGAGGCCTTTGAGGAGTGTATTTGAAACATAGGGGAGCAGGATGATTCTAACAGGCTTAGGAATGAATATGGAACTCCCTGTTCTGGTCTTGTATCTTTAAAAGGGAGTGTTTGCCAAAAGTTTAGGTGTATTAGGTAAAGAAAGGAGATAGCCAGTACTGGCAGCTTTAAGCATTTGGAAATAGATGCATCTTAATTCTTCAAAACTGAATTCATCAAAATTAAAAGTGTTACTATTCAAGATTTCCAGGCTACGAATTGGTTTTCTCTCTTTTTATCAAAAAATACATTTAAGCAACTTTCTGGAATAAAAAGCATAATTTGCAGTTCATTTAATCTTAATTTTTATCTGAAATTTAATGTTGAATTCAATATATATTAATTTATGTTAACATCCCCATTACATAAAGGCAGTGGAATCCTAAGGTAAATAAGCTAAATATACATCTTTAGAATCAAGAGGGGAACCTAGAGAAATATACAAAAACTATTACAAAGAGAGAGTAAGAAGCAGTCTCCAGGTGTTGGGAGGAGAGCATGATGAATAGGCAGACCATTGAAGATTTTTAGGGCAGTGAAACTATTCCATGTGGTACTATAATAGTGGATACATGTTGTCATACATTTCTCAAAACTCATAGAATGTACGACACCAAGAGTGAACGCTAATGTAAATTATGGTTTTTGCATCATAATGATGTGTCAGCATAGGTTCATCACTTGTAACAAATGTACCACACTGGTGGGGGTGATGATAGTAGGGGAGGCTATGGGTGTTTGGAGTCAGAGGGTATATGAGAACTCTGTACTTTCTGTGCAATTCTGCTATGAACCTGCAACTTCTCTAAATATAACGTCATAAGAGAGAGTGAGAGAAAGGTAAGAGCCATGAGATGTACCAAGAGCAAAAGAGAGAAAGATTATATCTGACCGGGAAAATGAAGGCTATGAATAACTTCCATAGGCCTAAGACTCTCCTAGGGTAACTTTAATTCAGACTCTTTCGTTTGGAATTCAGATTCATGTGCCCCACTGTGTTCTTGACATCATCACTACCCAATATCACAGGTTCATAAAAAATTTTAACCTTCTATGGGGTATGAAATACAACACTCAAATAGAAATAATATATCAAGTTTAACAACTTCAAAGAGAACCATTATTCATTCTCCTACCCCAAGTTAGTTTCTTCCTAAGTCTTTCTTATTTTAATAAATAGCACCTCTCCACCCAGTTATGCAAACCAGAAAACTTGGAGTCATTCCTAACCCCTCTTGCTCCCTCAGGCCCTATATGTAATCCATATGTTGATTAGTTGTGTCCTATTGATTCTGTTTCTAAAATAAATCTGGAATCCAGCAACTTCTTTCCGTCTCCAGTCATCTCTCTGTCTAGAGTCTCTCTCACTTCTTGGCTGACCCTTGCCATTGTCTGTCAAGTGCTCTCTGAATCCCATGTGACTTCCTCCAGTCCTTTCCCAAGAGTTAGAGTGGCCTCACAAAGCTATGACTCAGGTCACGATGCCCCTTGTGTGGCTTCCCTGTGTCCTTAACACGAACCCTCCAATCTCACATGACTGAAAGGCCTATAGGACAAGTCTCTGCCTAGCTTTCCAGGCTCAACTCACGCTCTTTTCTCCATTGCTCACCACTTCCAGAGTATGGAACATGCCAAGCTCTTTCCTAACCCACGACCCCATACATTTCCCTGTGCCTGGCCCCTGTTTTCCCCATTCTTCATCTGGCTAAACTCTTACTCATTTTTCAGTTCTCAGTTTAAATATCAATACGTCTGAGCTGCTCTTCTGACCCACCAATACAAGTTGAGCAGATCTGCCAGAATACCTTCTCACCATTCTTTTTATTTATCCTTCCAGCTAATAAACGGGATATCCACACTGGACATTCTGTTTCACCCTGACTGGTTCCAACCAGCCAAAACTGTTACAGATCAGTGAACTTTGAGCAAATGAGGTGTGTTACATCCCCATTGGACCTGAATGAAGACTCTCTACTGACCAAAGAACAGCAGAACGTGATTTAACCAAACACATATGGGCTTGAGCAGCCATTCTGCTCAAACCAGGGTTACCACCCAAGGGGAGTCATCTGCCTGCCACAAGACACGCCAGTAGTCAAGGGGCAAGGTGGTAGGAGAGAAAGGGATTTTATTACGGCTTGCTAGCAAGGGGAAAATGGCCGACTAACATCCAAGAGAATCATCTTTGAGAACAAAGACTACAGGCCAGTTATGTAGGGAGCTGGTCTCCGGGTAGGGGAGGCATCTGGTTTAGTTCCTGGTAATCGTTTGTTTTACTGGATATGCATCAGAGACCGGAGCAATGCTCTATACCCTGAAGTTTCAGTTGTCATTGGTGATGGATATCAGCATAGACTCTGTGCCCAGGGGGTCATCACATTCCTAAGGAACTCAGAAGAACAAAGTTTATAACTTATCACAGCTGGGAGGGGCCATAAAATCTACAGAGCATGTATACCTCCCGGAGAGTGCATCTCCAGCTGGGTTAGTTAATCAGGTCATTCAAAGTTACAATATGGTTTCTTTTCTACAATATGGCTTCCCTTATGTCAACCTTGTGTTGAGCTGGTTTCACCAGGGCACAGGTTTCAATCCTTAGGGTGCATAAGCACAATGAACTCCTCCTTTCAGCACATAAAGATATCTCACTTCTCTCTTTTGTGAGGCTCCTACTGAATTTCTGTGCTGCCATGTGTTCCACTACCCACATTTTGTTGATCATTGTGGTGGCCCTTGTCCTTTGTCTGCATGGTAGTTATCACAGTCTGCAATTATATATCTAGTTGTGTCTTTAGCTATTTAATGCGTGTCTCCCCTGAAGACTGTAAACTCAGTGAGGGCAAGGGCAGTGTCTATTTTGTCTCCAACTCTATCCCCAGAACCTAACTCTTAAATAGGAGTTGAAAAAATTGTTGACTAAAAGAATAAAAGAAAAAGGGAGATAATGAGTCGAATAAACCTTCATTGTTTCCATTCTGTTTCTTATTATAAATTGTGTTACTGTGCAAACTGATGCAAAAACTCACAACCACAAAATTACCGTGTCAAAAGTATGGGTAATTTTTAGCTTTGGGATGTATCTTGCCAGATTACTTTATAGAAATTACAAGTTAATGTATTGTGTCAACAAAGTAGAAATATTATTGAACAATGGACAGAGAATGGGCGCAAAGAAGAGGGAATAGAAAGGAAAGCTTCAATGGGGAAGCTTAAAGGCCTGGAATGGGAAGGGATGGAAGAAGAAGGGAGGAAGGGAGAAAGCATTTGTAGAGTAAGCAGAGGATGGGGTTGGGGGGGGGGGGGGGTTGGTGGCAGGGAGGAGTGGGAAGGAGCTAATGGGCTAGCAGAAAGACTTAGAAGAAAGGACATCATTGATGAGACTAACACACTGAGAGGACCAGAAGGGGAGAAATCCATAATCTTGGAAAAGAAGCTATTTAGAATGAATGAGGAGGCATAAGTCAGGAACCTGAGGGAATGCCAGCCTTCAGGACGAGAATTTCTTGGTGAAAAAGAATATACTTCCTCTGCAAGAAAAAGGGAGACGAGTGGGACAAAGTATTGAGGGGAGTCAACAAGAGTTGAGGAATCTGAGAGTAGGTTGATTACGGACATGAAGAATTCCTGCACAGCTTGGGTTTGGACTAGTGACCAACCCTCAATGTGATTTCACAATGACTTCAAGGTAGCCATTACATATATGTTCAGAGACCTACAAGAAACCATGCTCAAAGAAGTAAAGGAAGGTATGAAGACCATGTCTACTCAAATAGAGAATATAAATAAAGAGACAGAAGTTATATATAAAAAAAAGAACCAAATGGAAACTCTGGAGTTGAAAAGCACAATAACCAAAATGAAAAGTTTATTACAGGAATTCCACAGTAGAGTGGAACTGGCACAAGAAAGGATCAGTGAACTTTAGAATAGATTGATAGACGTTATGCAATCTGAAGAACAGAGGAAAACATAGAATGAAATAAAGTGAATAGTGCTTCAGAGAAATGTGCTACATCTTTAAGTGCACCAACAAACACATACACAATTGGAGTGCCAGAAGGAAAGGAGAAAAAGAGCAGAAAAACATTCAAAAAAATAATGACTGAAAACTTCCCAAATTAGCTGAAAAATGTTTATCTACACATCAAAGAAGCATAGCAAATTCCAATAAGAATAAGTGCAAAAGGGTACACATCCAGACATATCATAGCAAAAGTGCTGGAGGATGAAAGTCTTAAAAGCAGGAAGAGAAAATGACTCAACAGGTGCAGTTAGGGACCACCACTCATATTAACAGCTGAATCCTCATCAGAAACGATAGAGACCAGAAGGCAGTGGGATGAGATATTTCAAGTGCTGAAAGAAAATCTGTCGACCATGTTATATTCAGCAAAGCTATCTTTCAAAAATGAAGGTGAAATAAAGGCATTTCCAGGTAAACAAAAACAGACAATTCTTTGCTAGTAAACACACCATAAAAGCAATCCTAAAGGAAGTTCTTGACGATGAAAGCAAGAAAACCCGGATGGAAATTCAAATCCACGTGAAAACATAAAGAGAATAAAGGTAATTATGTAATTATAAAAGGTAGTATAAATGCATATTTTTCTTCTTTCTTCTCCTGATTTTATAAGTAATTATATAAAACAATACATATGTAATTGTATTGTTGAGCCTATAAGGTATAGAAAGGTAACATATCTGCATAACAGCACAAAGGAGGTGAATGAGAACACGATTGTACTGGAATAAGGAAATGACCCCAGATGGCAATTTGCACCCATAGGAACAAGAGAAAAGAACAAGAAATGGTAAATAGAAGACAAATATGACAAACTGCATAAATGTGTACTTGCTCTTCTTTTTTTTTCAGATTCTTTAATAGACGTAAAAATTGTGTAAAGGAAAGACTGTAACAATACATTGTTGGATTTGTCGCATGTAAAGATGTACGATGTATAACAATAATAGCACCAAATAGAGGAAGAGGGAACAGAGCTATATAAGAGTAAAGCTTCTATATGTCACTGGAAGAAAGTTAGTATAAATCTGAAGTATATTCTGATAAGATGTTTATAGTAAGCTCAGAAGCAACCACTAAGAAAATATCTTTTAAAATATGGTAAAAATTATTAAAGGATTTAAAACTTACACTTAGAATATGTTTACTTAGTGCAAAAGAAAGCGGTAAGGAGGAATAGAGAAATGGAAAGTAGATGAGACATAGAAAACCGAAAGTAAAATGGCAGATGTAAATCCATGAATAATAACGTTAAATGGGAATGCATTAAAAATGTATAGTTCTGACTTGACCAATGAAATAAACTCTTCAATAAACAGTTTCCCTTGGAATTAGATGCGGCCATGTGAATAAATTCTGAGAACAGGAAGTAACAGAAGTGTTAACTAATGATTTCTAAGGAGTATTTTTTTTTTAATTTAGGAATTTCAATGTGGAAGGTATTTTTGTTTAATTTCTTTCTTTTTTTTTTGAGGAAGATTAGTTCTGACCTAACATCCACTGCCACATCCTCTTTTTGCTAAGGAAGATTGGCCCTGAGGTAAAATCTGTGTCTATCTTCCTCTACTTTATATGTGGGACGCCTGCCCCAGCATGGCTTTGATAAGCGGTGTATAGGTCTGCACCCAGGATCCGAACTGGCGAACCCAGGCCCGCCAAAGGTGAGTGCGCAAACTTAACCACTCACTGCACCACCAGGGCAGCCCCTGGAAGGTATTACTTTTAGAAAAGATTTATTGAAGTATAATCAATACACATTAAGCTACACATATTAATTGTATCATTTGGGGCCAGCTCTGTGGTGTAGTGGTTAAGTTTGGCACACTCGACTTTGGCAGCCCAGGTTTGTAGGTTCAGATCCCGAGCACAGATCTACACCACTTGTCAGCCATGCTGTAGTGTCAACTCACATACAAAATAGAGGAAAACTGGCACAGATGTTAGCTCAAGGAGTATCTTCCTCAGCAAAAAAAAAAAAAAAAGAATACAATTTGACGAGTTTTGACCTATGTATGATATGTAACCATCACCACAGCCAAGATAATAAAAGTTTCTATCACTCTCAAAATTTGTTTGAGCCCATTGCATCCATTCCTCTCTCCCATGTTCCATCTTCAGACAGTTACTGGTCTCCCCTCTATGACTAGAGATTAGTTTACCACTTTTAAAACTTCATATAAATTGAATGATTGCAGAACGTACACTTTATTCCGCCTTGTTTCACTGAGCATAATTTTGAAATGTATTCATTTTGTTGCATGTACCAAACAATGGTTCAGTCCTTTTTGTAGTTGAGCAGTATCTCATTTTATGGGTATGTACCACAATTTATTTATTCATTCAACTGCTGGTGGATATTTGGGTTGTCTGCAGTTTGGGACCAATCCAAATGAGGCTGCTATGACTATTCATGTACTAGTCTTTGTGTGGTCATATGCTTTCATGTTTCTTGGGTAAATATCTAAGAATGGAATGGCTGAGTCATATAATAAGTATATGTTTAAATTTTAATAAATTCCAAATTGTTCTTCAAACTGGTTTGACCATTTCCCATTTCCAGCAGCACTGTATGAGTGTTGCACTTGCTCCATATTCTCATCAGCACTTGCTTTGGTCAGCCTTTTAAATTTTAACCATTTTAGTAGTGAGTGGTGGTATCTCATTGTAATTTTAATTAACATTTCCATAATGACTATTGATGTTGAGCATGTTTTGGTGTGCTTATTTGCCTTCCATATATCTTCTTTGGTAAAGTAACTGTTCAAATCATTTGCCTGTTTATTATTAAGAGTTATATGTATCTTTATTATCTAGTTGGATGAGTTCTTTATATAGTCCAGACACAAATTCTTTTCCAACTACGTTTTGTACATAGTGTCTTTCCATCTGAATCTTGCCTTTTCATTTTCTTACACTGTATTGAGGTATAATACACATACAATAAACTTCACGTATTTAAAGTGTGGAATTTGTCACACATATGTATCTTATTATAAAAACATCAAGAATTTTAAGATAATGAACATATCCATAAAAATTTACTTGTGCCCCTTAGCAATCCCTTCTCCTACTCCTCCCCTGCTTTAACCATATCCCAAACGTTTAGACATGTCATGTTTTCATTTTTATTAAGTTGGAAATACTTTCTAATTTCTCTTTTGATTTCTTCTTTGACCCACTGATTATATGCACTTGACAAAGATGTGTATTCTATTGTTGGGTGGATTGTTCTGTAAATAACAACTAGTCAGGTTGGTTGATAATGTGTTCAAGTCTTCTATATCCATACTGATTTTCTGTCTACTTGTTATGTCAGTTATTGACAGCGATGTTGAAATTTCCAACCATAATTGTGAATTCGTCTATTCTTTCAGTTGTATTACTTTTTGCTTCAGGTATTAAGCAGTTATGTTATTAAGTCTATATATCTTTCAATTATTGTGCCCTTTTCATGAATTGATCTCTTTATCATTATAACATACTCTCTTTATCCCTGGTAGTATACCTTGCTATGAAATTCACTTTCTCTGATATCAATATGGCCACTCCAACTTTTTTGTGATCACTGCTAGCTTTCCATCTTTTTCTGTTAACCTGTATATTTCCATCCTGTCTTTTTTCTTTTAACTAATATCTTTATATTTAAGGCAAGTTTTTATTTGTTAGCCACAAATACTATAATCCCCCCTTACCCATGGGACACGCAGTCCAACATCCCCAGCGGATACCTGAAACCAAGGATAGTACCAAACCCTGTATATATTATGCTTTTTCCTATACGTTCATATCTATGATAAAGTTTAATTTCTTAATTAGACACAGTAGGAGGTTAACAACAATAGCAGAATAAAATAGAATAATTATAACAAAGTACTGTAATAAAAGTTATGTGAATGTGATCTCTCTCAAAATATCTTATTGTAGTGTACTCACCCTTCTTGTGATGATGTTAGATGATAAAATGCCTACATGATGAGAGGAGGTGGAGTGAATGATGTAGGCATCGTGTTGTAGCATTAGGCCACTACTGACCTCCTGATGATAGCTCAGAAGGAGGATCATCTGCTTCTGCACCGCAGCTGACTGTGGGTAACTGAAACTGGGGAAAGTGAAACCACAGAAAAGGAGGCACTACTGTTGTTGGTCTTTTTTTTGAAATCCAGTCTAACTACATCCGCTTTTTAATTGGGGTATTTAGATTATTTACAGTCATGTGATTATTGGTATGGGGTGGTTTAAATCTACCAGTTTTCTATTTGTACCATACGTTCTTTGTTCCCTTTTTGTTTTTCTACTTTCTTGTAGATTAATTAGAGTTTTTATGATCTATCTTATCTTTTTTTTATTAGGTTAGTAGCTATATCAGTCTGTTTTGTATAAATGTTTAGGTTATCAGTCCCTTTTCAAGTAATAGCATTTCACATTTAGTACACGATCTTACACTACGTACTTCCATTTCCTCCTCCAAGTCTTTGCACTACTATTTTCACATATTTTTCTTCTACATATATATTATATATAAACCCCAAATACATTTTTATTATTTTTGTTTTACAATTATCTTTGAAAGAGATTTAAAAATTCAAAAAAGCACCCATTTAACTCATTAGACTAATTGTAATGAGATCATACCACCTCACATATAAGAACCTTCAAAAAGTATACCTCCATTTCCTCCTTCCCAGGTTTTGTGTGTATTGACGTACATCTTACTTTATGCATGCTATAAATCCTACAGTACATCGTTATTATTTTTGCTTTAAGTAATCACTGGTCTTTTAAAGAGTTTTAAAAATAAGAAAATAAATATTTCATACTTATCAAACACTTATATTTCTAGTACTCTTCTTTCCTCTGTGTAGATCTAAATATCCTTCTGATATCACTTTCCTTCTTATTAAAAAATACTTCTTGTGGCCGGCCCCGTGGCCGAGTGGTTAAGTTCACGTGCTCTGCTTCGGTGACCCAGGGTTTCACCGATTCGAATCCCAGGCGTGGACATGGCACCACTTGTCAGGCCACACTGAGGTGGTGTCCCACATGCCACATAGAAGGACCCACAACTAAAAATATGCAGCAATGTACTGGGGAGCTTTGGGAGAAAAAGTAAAAAAAATAAGATCTGTAAAGAAAGAAAAATTCTTCTAGTGCTGGTTGGCTGAGGATTACTCTTTCAATATTTTTTTTAAGTATTTCTCTACATTTTCTTTTTTTCTTTATTTTTGTTTTGGTGAAGAAGATTCGCCCTGAGCTAACATCTATTGCCAATCCTCCTCTTTTTTTTTTTTTTTTTTTTTTGCTTGAGGAAGATTAGCCCTGAGCTAACATCCATGCCAGTCTTCCTCCACTTTGTATATGGGATGTCTCCACAGCATGGCTGATGAGTAAAGCAGGTCCACAGAGGGGATCCAAACACGCCCACCCAACCGCCAAAGCAGAGTGTGTGGAACCCCAACCACTAGGCAACAGGGCTGGCCCTCTTTCAGTTTTTATATGTCTATAAAATATATCTATATGTCTATCCTCTATTTTTTTATTTAAACTTTTAATTTTTATTTTCAGATAGATTATTCACATACAGTGGTAAGAAATAACATAGAAAGGTCCCATGCACCCTTGATGCAGTTTTCTCCAATGGGAATATCTTGCAAAACTGTAGCACAATTCCAAGACCAGTTTTCCCAATACCATTTGTTCAAAATACTGCCACTTACCCATTGAATAGTCTTGAAGAGAATGGAGTTACAGCACCAAAAAGGCAAAGTAGGACACCCCAGCCTCTACCTCCCTACAGAAATCAACAATTAGAATGCTATCCATGAAAAAAAATAACTCTAGGAGAGCTCCAGAGCCTACTTAAGAGACTTTAGCAGCATGGCGGAACAAAAAACTGAGAACAACTGCACAAGGATAGAAGGAAGACAACTTGGAAGGAAGATTATGCTTGTAACATCCCATCCCCAAGATAACTTTGTTCAGCTCCAAGAGGGAACTTCCCAGCTAGAAAGAGTTCCCCGCATCAGGAAAGAAAGAGAAGGGTAAGCAACCAGCTTCTCCAGCCTTCCAGGGCACTACACAAGTGTTCCACTTTAGCTTCACTCCACCCAGACCAGCAAAACTGAGACATGTAGAAATGGCCAGGAACAAGGAAGAAAAGCAGGGGCTACCAAGAGCAGCCACACAGCAGGAGCAATCACAGCTCACAGTGGCTTTCCTGACCTGGGAAATTTCACCACAGAATAAATTAACGGCTAGTGCAGTCACCACAGACCCCCTGGAGATTTCATCAGCTTTTGCCTCACTGGATCAGTGCAGTCACAAACCCTTGCACTTGGTGCCCTGAACTACCAGACCCAGAGTCCCAGCATACTCTAGAGAGCCCCTACCCACAGGTGAAAGTCTTCCCTTACTGAAGTCAGCCCCTAAAGTCTGGAAGAGGTGACTTTCTTCAGATGCACGGACACCTACAGAAGGCTACAGGAATCACACACAATCAGGGAAACATGACTCCACCAAAGGAATACGGTAAACCTCCAGTAACTGGCCCCAAGGAAATGGAGATCCAGTAATCACCTGACAAAGAATTCAAAGTAATGCTCTAAAGATGCTCAAATTGCTATAGGAGAACACAGATAAATAATTTAATGATATTAGGAAAACAATACAAGAACAAAATGAGAAGTTTAGTGAAGAGATAGAAAACATAAAAAGCAGAACCAAATAGGAATTTTGGAGCTGAAGCATACAATGATTGAACTAAAGAACTCAATAGAAATCTCCAACAAAAGACTTGATCTATCAGAAGAATGAAAAGGTGAGCTCAAAGAGGGAACAATTGAAATTATCCAATCAGGAGAGAAAAGAAAAAGACTGGAAAGTAATAAAGCCTACAAAACTTAGGGGACACCATTAAAAGAAACAATATATGTATCATTGGAGTCCCAGAAGGAGAAGAGAGGGAGAAAAGTGTAGAAAGCTTATTCAAAAAAAAATAATGGCTGAAAGGTTCCTAAACCTAGAGAGAGATTTGGACTTCCAAGTTCTTGAAGCTAATAGGTCACTCCAAAATATCAATCCAAACAATCTTCTCCAAGATGCATCATAATATAACTGTCTGAAATCAAAGACAAAGAAAGAATTTTAAAAGCAACAAAAGAAAAAAAAAAATTCTCTTATACAAGGGAACCCCCACAAGACTAGCAACAGATTTCTCAGCAGAGACCTTGTGGGCTAGGAGAGAATGGGAAGATATATTCAAAGTGCTACAAATGAGACCTGCCAAACAAGAAAACTTTACCTAGGAAAGTTGTTCTTCAGAACTGAAGGCAGTGCTGAGGGAATTCATCACCACTAAACATGCCTTACGATAAATGCTAACAGGAATTCTTCAAGCTGAAATGAAAGGATGTTAATTAGTAACAAGAATAAAAGATGGCAACATCTCTCCAAATGTATTAACATAAATAACCACTTTAACCTCCCCCCAAAAGAACCTAATCAAAACTCACTTGTTAAACTCTGATTCAGAATTCAGGGGTTAGGTGAGATTTGTATACTTCACAGCACCAGTAGGTCTGACCTTGCTCATAAACTTGCTAAGCGTAAAATCTGCAGGGATATTGGCACGTAAGAGAGAAGATGAGAGAAAAAGCTGGTGTCCCTGCCAGCAGATCACCATGTGTGGAGATGGACAGCAGTCAGATGTGCTCCATGCAATTGATGGCATGGGTCAGATTCTTCTCTCCTCGAGTTGTAAACTTGCTCATACTTTGGCAATCTTTTAGGAAGAGAAAACATTGGGCAAAATATATTAGTAGATGAATATGGAACGTAAGCAGGAGAAAATACCGTGAAATAAAGCATTCTTTTCTCTGAAAGCTGGGAAAGACAGGAATTGTCCCTTATGCAGCAGGCCTGATCGCTGGGCCATGGCTGATAGAGAGTGTGTAAAATGAAGCACCTTTCAGAACAGAGATAGCTCTTGAGCAATGTGACCTGGTTTGTAATTCTACCTTTGTCATCATCTGGATAATGGCTCTAAGTACATGCTTATCAGTAACTACTTTAAGTGTCAATGGAATAACTGCTCCAATCAAAAGATGTAGTGTGGCTGATTGGATAAAAAATGAAACCCATTTATATCATGCATACAAGAGATACACTTCAGACCTACTAAAGATACTCACAAACTGAAAGTGAAGGGATGGAAAAATATAAGGCATGCAAATGACAATGGAAAAGAAAGTTGAGGTAGCAATAATTATGTCAGACAAAATAGACCTTAAAACAAAAACTGTAGCAAGAGACAAAGTCACTACATAATTATAAAGGGAACAGTCCAACAAGAGGATATAACACTTGTATGTATTTATGCACCCAATGTAGCACCACCTAAATATATGAAGCAGTTATTTACAGACATAAAAGAAATAGACTGTAACACATAGTAGGGGACTTTAAATTGGGTAGATTGTTGAAACAGAAGATCCATAAGGAAACATTGGCCTTCAATGACTCATTAGACCATATCACTGAGATATATAGGACATTCCATCCAAGGACTGCAGAATACACATTCTTTACAAATGTACATGGAACATTCTCCAGAACAGCTCACATACTAGGCCACAAAGAAGTGTCAAAAAATTTAAGAAGACTGAAATAATACCAAGCGTCTTTTCTGACTACAACAGCATGAAACTAGAAATCAACTCCAGAAAGAAAACTGGAAAAGACACAGATATGTGGAGATTAAACAAAATGCTACTGAACAATTGTTGGGTCAATGAAGAAATCAGAGGAGAAATCAAAAAATGCCTGGAGACAAATGAAAATGAAAATATGACATGCCAAAATTTATGGGTTACAGCAAAAGCGGTTCTAAGAGGGAAGTTTATAGCAATACAAGCGTATCTCAACAAACAGAAAAATCTCCAACAAACAATCTAACAGTGCACCTAAAGGAACTGGAAAAAGAAGAACAAACACAGTCTGAAATCATTAGAAGGAAGGAACTAATAAAAATCAGAGTGGCAATAAATGAAATACAGACTAAAAACAATAGAAAAAAATAAATGAAACCAAGAAGTGGCTCTTTGAAAAGATAAACAAAATTGACAAACCTTTAGCTAGATTCACCAAGAGAACAAAAGAGATGCCTCAGGTAAATCGGAAACAAAAGACAAGAAATTACAACAGACAATTCAGAAGTACAGAAGCTTATAAGAGAATACTATGAAAAGCTATATGCCAACAAATTGGATAATCTAGAAGAAATGGATAAATCCTTAGAATCATGCAAGCTTGCAAAACTGAATCAAGAAGAAGTAGAGAATTCAAATAGACCAATCACCAGTAAGGAGATTGAAGCAGTAATCAAAAACCTCCCAGAAAATAAAAGTCCAGGACCAGATGGCTTCCCTGGTGAACTCTACCAACATTCAAATAAGACTTGTTACTTATCCTCAAACTCCTCCTTGAAGAGGAGTGGAAGCTTCGTAACTCATTTTATGAGGCCAACATTACCCTGATACTGAAATCAGACAAGAACAACACAAAAGAAGGAAATTACAGACCAAATCACTGATAAGCATTGACACAAAAACCCTCAACTAAATACTAGCAAATCAAATACAACAGTACATTTAAAACCTGATACAGGAGTGATGTCACCATCATGGCAGAGTGAATTTACCAGGGATTCTCTCCTCTCCAACATACAATGAAAAGGAACTTTCATACTCCAATAGAGGACATCCTAACACAATATAAGAACCTCCGTGGGACACACACAGCCATACAATGAAGGGTAGAGAGGCTGGAGCCCCCATCAGAAGACATGGAATAGAGTAAGAGAAAATTTCACTCCCTCCCCTAATGACGGTGATCCACGACCATGGAAGGCCTCCAAGAGGGAAAGAATGGGGGATCGGACGTTCATTCATGGGAACATCAAGGACCTTCGAGGGCCCATGCAGCCTACGGGGGAGACCTCTACCAGAGCGAGAGCTTTCACAGGGGGTGACCTCATCGAGACAGCATCCCAGGAGAGCAGTTAGCCAGAGCAGAGGAAGAAAGCCCAAAGAGCATGCAGGAGAAAGTGCCCCTCCCCCGTCCGGTGCCCACCAGCTCTCAGAATATGCAGCTCTCGACCCCCATCCAGTGGTAATAGGCTGTAACTGCAACCGAGTAATATCACGGGAAACCCTGTTCTTCCAACATCAGGCGGTTCATCAAATCTCCAGACCAGAGAGAAAAGAAGTACCCAGAATTCAGTCCTGAGGACACAGAAATATGTAAGCTAAATGATAATGAATTCAAAATACCTATCATCAAAAGACTCAATGAGGTAAAAGAGGATGTAGAGAAACAATTCAATGAGTTCAAGAGCTACTTCACAAAAGAGATTGGAACTATAAAGAAGAATCAATCAGAAATGTTAGAGATGAAAGACACAATGGAAGAGAGAAAAAAAAATACAGATTCCCTGAACACTCGAGTGGACATCATAAAGGACCATATCAGCATAATCGAAGATAGGCATGTTGAAATGCTCCAGAGGAGGAGAGAGAACTAAGACTAAGAAAGGAAGAAAGTCTACAAGAAATAGCCAATTCAAGGAGGAAATGCAGCATAAGAATTATAGGTATTACAGAAGGTGAAGAGGAGAATGGAGCAGAAAGTGTGTTCAAAGAAGTAATAGCAGAGAACTTCCCAAACCTAGGGAAAGAGATGGAAATCCGTGTGTAAGAGGCTTCCAGATCTCCTAGATGTGTCAATGTACAAACACCTACTGCAAGGCATATAGTAGCAAAACTGGCAAAATTGAATCACAAAGAATACTAAGGGTAGGGGCTGGCTCCGTGGCCGAGTGGTTAAGTTCGCGCTCTCCGCTGCGGCGGCCCAGGGTTCAGATCCTGGGCGCGGACATGGCACCACTTGTCAGGCCACGTTGAGGCGGCTTCCCACATCCCACAACTAGAAGGACCTGCAACTGAGATATACAACTGTGTACAGGGGGTGTTTGGGGAGATAAAGCAGAAAAAAAAAAAAGAATACTAAGGGTAGCAAGGCTGAAGAAAATAACCTACAAAGGAGCCCTTATCAGGCTTTCAGCAGATTTCTCTGCAAAAACTTTATGAGCTAGAAGAGAATGGAATAAAATACTCAAATCTTTGAAAGACAAAAAGTTTCAGCCAAGAGTACTCTATCCAGCAAAAACATCCTGCAAATATGATGGAGAAATATAAACTTTCCCAGACAAACAAAAGCTAAGGGAGTTTGTAGCCATGAGACTCCCACTACAAGAAATCCTCAAGAAGGCCCTCATCCCTGAAAAAAGAAAAGAGAAAAACAGGTTACAAAGCACGGAGTAAGGAGATAAATAGAATCAGAATAGGATAGCAAATACTCAACTATAGCTTTAAAGATAAAGGGATGGAAAACACCAAAAACAAAGATAATCTTGTAATTTTAACAACAGGGTCACAACATAAGATGGAATAAGATATGAGAAAAACAACTCAGGAGGGTAGGAATAAAGGGGCTGAATTGGTTTAGACTAAGGAAATAAGAGGCCATCAGAAAATGGCCTATCGTATACATGACATTCTGAATACAAACCTCATGGTAACCACTAAACAAAAAAGCAGAACAGAGACACAAATAATAAAGAGGAAGTAAAGTATCACATGATTTTTCAAAAACTACATAATTCAATGGGTAGACAAAAACACACAGAATGAGAAAGAAAGGAAATGCAGGAGAACCAGAAAACGAGTGGTAAAATGACAGCCTTAAGCCGCCATATGTCGATAATCACCCTAAATGTAAACGGACTGAATTCTCCAATAAAAAGACACAAAGTGACGAGATGGGTTAAAGAACAAGACCCAAGAATGTGCTGCCTCCAGCAAAGAGAGCTCAGTTCCAATGACAAACACAGGCAGTATGTAATGATCAAAATGACAGTCCATCAAGAAGAAATAACACTTATAAATATCTGTGCACCAAACACAGGAGCACCAAAGTTCATAAAGCAACTACTAACAAACCTGAAACAAGACATTAATAATAACACATTAATAATAGGGGACCTCAACACTCCACTCACATCAATGGATAAATCATCCAGACAGAAAATCAACATGGAAACAGTGGCATTAAATGAAAAGCTAAACTGGTTGGACTTAATAG